CTTTGGGAGGCTGAGGTGAGTGGATTGCATGAGCCCGCGGGTTCGAGACCCGCCTGGGTAGTGAGACCTCATCTCTACAATAAATCAAAAAATCACCAGGCTCGGTGGCTCATCCTGTAATCCTGCGCCTTTGGGAGGCTGAGGTGAGTGGATTGCCTGAGCCCGCGGGTTCGAGACCCGCCTGGGCAGGCGAGACCTCATCTTTACAATAAAATCAAAAAATTAGCTGGGCATGGTAGCACGCGCCTGTAATTCCGGCTACTTGGAAGGCTGGGGCGGAAGGATCACCGGAGCCCAGCAGGTCGAGGCTGTAGTGACAAAGTAAGACTCCAGTCTGGGTGACAAAGTAAGACTCTAACTCAAAACAGAAAAACAATAAATCAAAAAATCAGCCGGGCGTGGTAGCGCATGCCTGTAATTCCGGCTACTTGGAAGGCTGAGGTGGAAGGATCACCGGAGCCCAGCAGGTTGAGGCTGCGGTGATTGGGAGCAGCCACTGCACTCCAGTCTGAGCGACAGAGTAAGACTCCAACTCAAAAAAAAAAAAAAAAATTAGCTGAGTGTGGTGACGTGTACCTGTAGTTCCAGCTAATTGGAAGGCTGAGGTAGAAGGATAGCCTGAGCCCAGCAGATCAAGGCTGTGGTAAGCCATGATGGTGCCACTGTACTCCAGCCTGGGCTGGACAGAGTGTGGTTCCAACTCAAAAAAAAGAAAGAGGGAAAGAAAACACCTAGCACAATACCTGACCCACTGGCCCACAGTTGGCACTAAATGTTAGCTTCCTGCACTTTTCTCCCTGCCAGATCAGCAAGAGCTGACCTCAGTCAGCATGAGTTGACTGCTGGGGCAGCTGCGGCCTCCTTCCCTGACTATCCAAGACATGACCTCTTGGAATCCCAGTATTGAGGTTGGCCAAGGGGAGTGGCTACTTTGGCCCTAGATTCCCCAAAGCCCAAGGGTGCTTGAGTTGGAATTCAGGGGGAGCTCTTGTGGAAGGAGGGAGAGGGAAATTTAGGAGGAGAGCTGTTGCAGAACATTATTTCTTAAGATGTGACCTGGAGTTTGCTCCATCAAAATTGCCTGGGTTGCTTGTTAAAAATTCCTGAGTCTCACATCAGACTACTGAATCAGAATTATTCCCTAAGGTTTGACAATCACTTTTCTATGGCTCAGATCAGGGGAGGTGTTGATGCCCTGAAAATCCTAGTGCTTCAGTTCCTAGTATTGCAAGAACAACTCAATTGTAGGGAGGGAAAGGAGAATTATAGAGTACCGTTAGGTACACTCAAGGTCACTGCTGCAGTGTAAAGCCAACACCACTAGAGGGCAGAGAACACACAGACTTGCAGAAAAAAGTAGAGCCTGTTCAGTCTAGGTACACTGAGACCAGAGCACAGAACAGGTAGACCCAGTTCTATTGGTACTAAAAGGTGGGCACTACTTCTTGACCATCAAAACACATCCTTTGGTTTCAGGTA